AATGTTGGTTTGCAGTGGTAATGCCCCAGACACAAGAGGGACAGCATTTGTTGTATATGAAGACATATTTGATGCCAAGAATGCTTGTGACCACTTATCAGGGTTTAATGTCTGTAACCGATATCTTGTTGTCTTGTACTATCAGTCTAATAAAGTAAGTAGATATTTCATGAAGTATAGATCACAAACACTTCATTTGAAATAGAGTGATCGCACTTAAACCATGCAACTGTACAAAGTCTAAGTAGTACTAATTTGTACTAAAATTGGACCTGAAGCAAGAGGGTATTGCGTACCACATGCACGATTTACTAAATACAACTAAATAGCACTAATAAGTTTGTACAGTTGCACGGTTTAAGTGCGATCACTCTAATGTCAATTTTTCTCGTCTGCTATATTGTGCCTTAGTACTAATGCAATCCCACCATACAAGTACTGTTAAAAACATGTTGACATAATTATCCAATGTATTTATGGCTATCATTGTTTCCAGGCTTTCCAAAAACTGGATAAAGAAAAGAAGAAACAAGACTTAGAAAAAATGAGAGAAAARTATGGAATCGGAAAAGACAAATGAGCAACCAGTCCAGCTGCATATCTAAACAAACATTATTGTATTTAACATTCCTAGTTCCCTTACACTACTCTCTGCACTAGTCTACTCWAGTGGTATAGTGTATTTCTATATACTAGATAGGAAGATTGAAAAGAATCAGCAAGAGAAAACATCAGATTATTGATAACTAGGATTCCTTTTTCTTATAATTTTATTCACTCAGAAGTGTTTATAACAAAATCCAAATAAAATGTAAATAGCTGTTTAAAAAGTGCATGTTTTTATATGTAATAGAGTGAACGCACTTAATCCGTGCAACTGTACAAAATCTAAGTAGTATTAATTTGTACTAAAAGTGGACCTGAAGCAAGACGGTATTGAATGCTTCATTTATATCAATTCAATTTAATTTGTGTACCGTATGCACGATTTACTAAATACAACTACATAGAACTATTTAGTTTGTACAGTTGCACGGATTAAGCGCGATCACTCTAATGACCACAATCTATCTTGGACGAAAAGGTTGACTATAATTTATTCACCAAAGCTCAACAAAGCGCTCATTCCCCCTTCCTTCTAACTGTTGTTGGCTTCTAAATTGCATTTGGCAAATATGTGTTCATTGAAACACAAGGGGACTGTGAATTCTGTGCAAACTTTGCAATATTTTGTGATGTTACAAAAATTGCCAACTTTTTTTTAGTCCAAGAGCATAGAGCTTCTAAAAAATGTTACCTGTCAAAGTGGTATATGTATAACCCCATGGTCTTTGGCATGTTGCAATGCTCGAAACCATAAAGRTATTTCAATTGAGGAATAGCAGAGGTAGGGTGCGGAACAATTTTTCTACCAATAATATTATGGCCTTGTTGGTTGGGCACCACCTTCAGTATTGACTTACTGGTATTTGTATTCATTTGTTATTTGCCCAGCGGCACTGGTGTGAAGTTCAGTTTAAAACAAAAAGTGGAAATGCATCCAACATTGCTAGGATAGTACTTCATGTAAGAACCCAATTCATAAAACACCTCAAACCTAATACAATGTACAGAGATTTTTAGCAATGAGAAGGGTTTGTCGTACCACTTCCATATCTTCGTTGTCCATGTATGATGTGCACATAGAAAGCGCTGATGTGCTCGTAGAGGCCTCTGATGTCCCAATTACGTGGAGAAGAACTTAGAAAATTTTAAACTTAAACCAAAAAATTTTTTTGAAGGACGAGTACTAAGATTCGAACCAGATAACCTAACCTGATATTTTCCCTAAACCTAACCATTTTTGTGATATTTATGCAACGGCATTCATGAATAACCACGCATATGTACATAAGATTGAACATATAATTAATGAACCATCTATAGGGACATGAGAGCCTTCTAAAGGTACATTAGCTAGAGCCATGCATATATGGACATCCATTGGAAGTCGTACGACAACCTCTACTCTTAGCAATATTGCCAATTCATGAATTATTAGGCCAGGGACACACGCATTCAAAATTTGTTGAACGACAATGTTGAATGCATTTATGTGGGGCTATTACACGTGTCAATATCATTCAACACACCATTGCATACCATTCAACAAAGTTGAACAAATGTTGAAAGCTTTTGCAATGGCCATGAAGTACTGCTGCCGACTTGTGTGGGAGATGACACAMAATGGACAAGAAGTTATAAAATGGCAAGTTTATTGATGTACAAAAGCAGTATTATACAATTTATAATGAAATGCAACAATGAGTATAATGTATGTAAGTATAAAGTATTACAGTAATGTAAATATAATATGGAGTTGRTTTGACAGCTGCTTTGAATATTTTATAATAGTAACTACAACTTAACTGTCCAATGTAAAAAGAAAATGATGACAGTCAGTCTTGACAGTCAGTGGAAAACAAGTCTTTTCAACAAACGATGACAGAAAAAAAACTCTCCATTTTATTGATTATTTTCCAATATCAAAGTATGTAAGCCCATCTTTTAATTGTTATACTTTTATAACAGGGAATTCAAGAACCATAGCAAAAGWATATAATTTTGATATTCACTTGTTTTGGGTTGTAACACAGTTACTATAACTGTTTATTTATGAAAAAGCTTAATTTCCCAAAATATGGGGCTTGGAATGCAAACGCAAAAAGCTCTATCTAATTACTATTAAAATTTGTTATGGTTTTGGAAAGGAAAACAATCAAAATATGGTCTGGTTCTAGCTGTCTACYACCCATAACGTTTTTACAGGTAAAGTGTGCATGTAATTATCTCAACTAGTTGATCTTTCACATCCTGATAAAAATCACTAGCGTAATAGTWAAGTTGAAAAACCTGTGAAATAGTTATTAGAATATTACAACTTAGTACACTCTAAATGGTCAAAGTTGTTACTTATTTTGTGTAGAATACACTATTATTCACTTATCATTTCACTCTGTGTTTTTTCACAATTAATATAACAAGGAAAAAATTTGGAATTATTTTTTGTTCAGTCAGGTTCCATTCCTATAGGTCCGTTATTTTGTGGGTCTTTTACTAAGTCAACAGTGTGGTTCCCCTTAACTTCCTAATTTATTTTATGGAAAAATTGGGCACCAAAGGAAAATCATACCATTGCCTATAAAGACCCACTGACAAAGTAATGGAAATAATGTGGACTAGAAAAAAAAACATATCAGCTGCAGTGGGCTTATAAATTATACCAAAATATTTATAAAAACAACAAAGATTTTGAAAATATTAATATATACAGTCTGTTTACACTCTTCTGGGTCTTTTACTTCTTGGATCTTCTGAGTTCAAGGGTGTAGCTCTCCTAGTTCTAGTTTGAGTGGCGTTACCATTAACTACAGGGCGTGTAGGTGTTGCTGATGATCCCTGAGCTCTTCTTAAAGCAATGGCACTTCTACTCAATGGTGTGCTTAGTTCTGTATGTAACATAGTGGCAGGGCTGGCCGGCATGTCATACTGTGTGGGAGTCATACCAAGACGTTCTTCTATCATACGTAGTTGATTCTCTGCTTCTTGGCATTCTTGGTGTTTGATGTTCATCTCTGGTGTYTGACCTTGTTGTAACTGAATCTATGGAAATACAGATAGCCATACTGTTAAGAACTGAGTGTTTAAAAAGACTTTTATCAATATAATACAGTTAATATGTAATATCTAAAAGTTATTTGGTATTTAGGCACAGTTAATTGAATGCATAGCCTCCACCCACATGCTTGTCAGTGCTTGAACTGTGTTAACATCTGCTACACTGAGCAATTTCTCAGCAACCAGGTAGCCAAAACTGTCACAGCTATTTTTGTCTTTTTTGCAATGCACTGAAGAAACTTGTAATCATACCAAGGCACAGTGTTTCACCTCTAAAAGCCTGTTTACACTTATCAATAATCACCACTTTGCTATTGCGCAACTCAAATTGTACGTGTAAACAGCCCTGCGATTGTTGCAGCAATGGAAAATCGCCGTAAAGTTGCAGCAAATTTTCAAGCATGTTCTAAACTCAGGTGATGTTGCTACAATGGTCTGGGACAGTCACCACTAGAATTGTTCTGCAAAATTCGTAGGTATAAATGGGCCTCGAGACCATTTAAAAAATCCCTCTCTTGTGCAACTTGCTTCGTAATGCTGTTGCAAGTTAAGTTACAAAGAATATTGCACTGTGCAAAACCCTCTTTTAGAACTATATTGAACATTGCATGAATATTATTATCAAATACTGAGAACATTTCTCATGATAACTTGAATGTAACCAACCTCCAGATCTCCCTTAGCCTGTTGATGTTTAATCTGTGCTTGTTTGTATGCTTGTAACTGATCTGAAAAGTAGTAAAAAACTTAGATTAGAATTCTGAATACTATGAAATGAAGATCAGAAAATGACGATTCTAATTAATTTTTTTTCATCAGAATTACAGAGCTGAAACAGTCACTCTGAAACAGTGCAAACAGGTGGTGATATAGTGACAAMMARGSMWTTTKGKWWTKG